CCTGGCCCACGTCCGCCCGTCCGTCGGTTGCCCGTCGATCCGCCGTCAGCATCTCCTTCCACTCTCTGATCATCCGTAGCCACCCTCAAGATAACCAGCAAAGGTGAGGGCATACGACAACGCCGACGGACGACGGCAGCGCAACGGCGACGACGACGACGACGACGACGGCAGCAGCAGCAGGCGCGGCATCGATATCAAAGGACCGACCCGACAGAAGCACGCCGTATACGAATGCGATCGGAAACATCACCGCCACCGACGACGACGACGACGACGACGACGACGCCCTGAAACGACTCCAAGAGACGCCACGTATCGTCTCCCGCTCCCCTCCGCTACCTTCTGCACCTCTGAGCCCTACTCGACGCCGACGTACGACTGCCCCGCGTCCTCACGAAGGAGACACACGGAACCTCCGACTGTCCGAAACTTGGCGTCTGATTGCTTGCCCACTCGGAACGAGCCCGCACGACCCGACACAGCTCGATTCGCCCTATCAGTCGAACCCTTCATCGACCTCTGCTGCTGCCGCTGCCGTCGTCCCAAGCAGCGCTGTCGGTCTTTTGCATCCTCGACTGGCGGCATCTGACAATCTCGCCCGACGCTCTATTTTGACCCAATCACCTCGCACCAGATGTCGAAGGGTACCACCTCGTTCGGTAAGCGACAGTGAGTATTCTGCTGCTTTGACGACGAGACGCAGGATGGCCGGAGGAATTCTGTGCGGCGATCCGTGGCGGGAGGAACGCAGGCTTGGATCCTCTCGTTGGCGAGGCAGAGGGACTGGTCAGGAGACCTTGGTCACAAGAGGCTTGGATCGGCGCGGGAGGATCGAGCACGCGCCGAGGACGAGGCCTGGATTGGGATAGGAAGCAGGCAGGCTCTCCTCGACGGGTTCATTCGCACCGCCGGCTCGGCATGCTAGGATCGGCCTGCTCACGCTTTCGATTCTTGTCGCCCACTCGCTCGCCTCCCACAGCTCCAAGTCGCACGGCGTCTGCCGCCGCTGCAACAAGACTTCGATGCACAAGCAGAAGAAGAGTGAGTGTCGCTGCAGGCCAGATGGATGTCTGCCTGTCCTATCTCAGCGCACCAGTCTCGAAAAGACAGACTCCCTGACCATCGCCGCGTCTTCTCGCCCGCTCGCTCGCCCGCCCCTTCCTCCGCTGCGCAGCCTGCGCTTCGTGCGGCTACCCGGCCGCCAAGATCCGCAACCACGAGTGGGCGCAGAAGGCCAAGCGCAGGAAGACGACCGGTACCGGCCGCATGCGCTACCTCAAGACGGTCGCCCGCAAGGCCAAGAACGGCTTCCAGACCGGCGGCCCCACCAAGAAGGCCGCCACCGCCTAAGCATGCCTGCCCGCCCTTCTACCTCGTTTTTCCCCGTCCCCCCTTCCTGCTCGCTAGTACCTTGTCTGTTCGTTGTACCAACAACCGTTCACACGCCGCTCGCCCTCGATGGCGTATTCCACCCGCACACCCGCACACACACACACACACACACACACACACACGCCACGCCACACACACCAACCCAAACCACCAAAAGAATGAGATCTTTGGACCCGATCACGGCCAAAGGATTCTATGCACGATTCCCCGAGGCGGCGGTAGCATGCTAGAGAGCCAGGAGGGGCGGTCGAGGGGAGACAAAGGCGGTGCCAGGGTTGAGTGGGGCTGATGGGGGTCCCGGGATCCAGGCGGGACGCTGGGCACTGCGGCCTCTGCGCTCTCGGGCACGGGCGTCGAGCACCGGCACCGGCACAGGCACAAGCACCAGGGCTCGGCCAGCCACGGCGTCTCGTCGCTCCTTTCTGTTGAGATTCGCTCCGATTCCATCCCAGCACGCGTGGGAGCGAGCGATCGGCTGGCAGACGAGCGAGCGCCGTCGACGTGGAGCGCCTATTCGTCGTCGTCGCTCTCGATGATGCGCTTCTTTTTGATGCCGGCGGCGCCCGAGGCATTGCCATTCTCGGCCCCCTCCGACGCCGAAGCCGACGCCGCCGCCGCCGTTGCAGCGTCCGCCTCCGCTTCGCCTTCGGCATCCCGGCCCGCTCCCCTGGCGCCTGCAGCCCCGCGGCGGCCACCATCCTCACCGTCGTCATCGTCGTCGTCGTCATCGCTCCAGCTGCGCGAGGACTTGGCCTTCTTGCCCTTGGACGATGCGTCGGTGCCCGCCGCCGCCTTTTTGCGCGCACGCTCCTGCTCCTCCTGTCGATGTTCGAGAGCACGGGGCGAAGGAGGGAGGGTCAGAGGACACGGGTCAGACGAACGGCTCGCTCGGCAGAGGCAGGCGGGCAGGCCGCGCGCGTCGGGCGGACCACATCCACACGAGCCCGACGCTACTCACGATCCTGGCCTCGGCAATCTCCATGGCGTCGGGCTCGTCGTCGATGTCCATGCCGTCGCTCTCGTAGTCGGTGCGCTTCTTCTTCTTGCTGTAGCCGCCTCCGCCGGCCTCGTCGTCGTCGTCGCCCTCGTCGTCGACGATGAAGCCGTCGTCGTCGTCGGCGTACCTGCCGGCGGCGGCGCGTTTGGCGTCTCCGCGCGTCTGCCTCTGGCCCCTGCCCGGGCCGGCGCGCTCCTCGCCCAGGTCGCCGTCGACGGACATGGCCTCGCTCTCGTCACTCCAGTAGTCGGCGCCGCCGCGCGGTCCGGCGCCGCTCTTCCGGCCGCCGGACGTGGCGGCGGAGCGCCCGCCGCGCCTGCGCGACTCGATGTCAAACATGTCGTCGTCGAACTTGCCGCTCTTGCGGTCGGCGCGCTGCCTCTCGCGGATGCGGCGCTTTTCGGCGTCCTTGAGCTCCTTTTCGATGCGCGCCTTTTCGAGCTCCGGGTCGCGTGCGCCCTCGCCCGCCGCCGTGGCGACGACGCGCGCCGTCTTCTGGAAGCGGAGCGCCTTGGCGATGCGCATGTGCGTCTCGGACCGCGTGTCGGCGGGCGTAAAGGCGAGCGAACCGGCGATGGGGCCCTCGGCCTCCATGACGGCGGCCTTGGCGTGGGGCACGACCAGGTACGACAGGCTCTGCGCGGGGCGCGACGAGGAGCCGGCGCCGCCCATGGGCATCGAGCGCAGGTCGGCCTGGCTCTGCGACGGCGGCATCATGCCCTGCGAGGATGGACCGGGCCCCATCTGGGACTGCGACTGCGACTGCGACTGGCTCGGCGCAGCGTTGCCGGCGCCCCGCGGTCCGGCCGTCGAGCCCGCCTGGACGCGGCCGGCCTCGGTCTGCTGGGTGATGTCGAAGAGCTCGCGGCCCACCTGGAGCGACATGGTTCCATCGCTCCAG